TTTATGTTCTTTGCACTTTATTATAAACAGAACATGAAACCTAAAGTAAAAAACATGAATTGAGAATATGTATCAAATATGAGCTTGGTGCTGTGGCTTAATCATTATCGTGGACTGCTGATCATTTCTATGTACAACAAAAGGCATAGTACACCAATAGCATAATGATGATTGAAATTATTAAGATTAAGAAGAGATACTAATGTTCCAAGGATTTACGCTGCCTGTGTCTTGGTCTGATCTTCAACCTCTTTTTTAGCTGTACCTAATCTACACAAAGCCAGTGTAGCAGCTTCACCTGCACCACGCCCACTTCAAATATGTTCTTTGCTTGTTTCTTTATTGTTTGTGTCATGACAGGAGCTCTAAGGGACAACCTGATAAAAAAGTATTTTTTTATGTAACACTGCAGCCGCACAGATTTTCCATTTTTCATCCAATAGCTAATATTTGCAAACAACTGTTACGTTATGTTCTGTTCATTCAGATTGCCATTTTATATTTTTCACAGCTCACTCATACTCCTTATAACTTGATTTTCTTCCAAAGTAAGACCTGGGAGCATTGAAAAATCTACGAGTAGCTCAGAGTGACATCAGCAACTAACTGGTCATTGTCCTGGATGTTGTCAGCCTCAGGCTCATAGTGGCTGAGATGCTCAAGCCCCAGTGACATCTAAAAGTAATAGAAAATAAATGAACACTCGAATTATAGGATATATAAACACTATAAGCATTCTACTTGGGCGAATCAAGTTGATGGATTATGTAATTACACAGCTGCTATACAAAACAGAAAAAGACCATCCCAAGACACTCTAAATGCTTATCTTAACTTATCTCTTTAGTGGAGAGACAAGGTGCTCAGAATGCAACCTGAGGTGAATTATTCTGCTTTCTTGTCTACTCTGGATAAAAACAAAGTGGACTAAGGATGAAAACCACAAGACGAGGATGCTATGATACAAAAGAGAGCTGTTAGCATCAAAGCCACTGGTAATGAATGAGCACTTTATGTGTTATGTGCAAGTCCCTTTTTGCAGTAGTGGAAAAAACAGATCAGACGAAGGCACCAACAAAGGCGCAAAGGCCAGTGAGGTGATGAGGATAACGCCACAGATGTAGCAGGTGGAAGATTTCCCTCTGTGACTCAGCTGACATCAGAGCCACAAGATGGGCTGCAATATCAATCTGACTAATGTTATTCATCTGAAGAAAATAATACAAAAAATAAAAAATCAACACAATGTTATTATGTATTATTACACAAATCTACTAAGCAAAGAACTTTTAAGGGTGTGTTCAAACTTGCACAGACAGGAATAGAACAGGACTAAACCAAGTGTATTTCATGACTAAATAGAGCTCAAACTGAGACCAGATCTGGGCCAGTGAATGCGCCATCACAACAAGCCTCCCTCAGTCTTCCCCAGGCAGATGTGGCTTATGAAGTGAATGAATAATGCAATCTAAAGCGCTTTAGGTCTTTTAAAAGATGCTATATAGATTTAATGCTGCTATATTATTATTTATTTTATTTTTATTGTGATCCTGTGGGGTTGGGTAAATATGGGGTTATACTGTACGATTTTATAGAATTTTAAGACATTCAAAAAAATTTCCAAGCTCACACTGTGTGACTGAATTTCATAGGAAGCTCACAGAGGGAGTGTGCGCACTGTACAGAGCGATGGTCGGATAAGCTGAAATATCCCCTCTGAAGGGGCTTTTGTGACCTTGAGATCTTTTCACACACGCATGTTTAAACTCCTAAAACCTCATAGAACTTAGTAAACCTGTGGCACTCCTAACTTTAGCACTGCTTAGTTTAAGAGGTGCTTTATTGTCCTAGCTCACCTCTGCACCTCACTCCAGACACCATAGCTGTGTTTACGTTGCCTACAGCTGTATTTTACCTGCACACACTGCTCTCACCTGAGTTCAGCAGCGTTTGGACTCTACGACTCACAACAAATATCACACATGTCTGATATCCCTGCAACTGTATGATGAGCAGTCATGCATTCATCGTGAGCAGATGAATGTAACTGTAAACCCCCTGGACACTGCAAAAATCAACTTGAAAATTGCTGTATATGCCCAGCTTTAAAGCGACGAACAATAGGTCATCAAATAACTAGACTTGATCTTTCGTCTTTAGTCTACTGCTTATGTGTCTCTTTTAAGAAGGGCAGAACAACTAAATGTTTTGCCTCATTTCATTTGTGCTCCAGAATTTGTTGGTCACCAAACTCCAGATGCTTTATCCAGCATCCAGCAGAAAGTAAATGTGAGCAGAAGAAGATGAGAAAATGATGAGCAAGAGTGAGGAATGTACTTCTGGACACTTGATATTTACCTTCCCACACACTGTCAACAAAAGCCTCCTTACAGAAACAAGTACTATGCTGTGTGTGTCTATGTCGCACAAGATATTCAACAGCATCAAGCGACTAGCAATAAATTGTGAAAACTATTTGTCACTCTAATTAACACAAAACAAGACTATTCAACCAATGAGGGCTTAAAATCCTGTCAGCCGGTAAGGTGAGGTGAGTGTGTCTCAACAGTCACCATTTCTTCTGGGACATGTGTTTTTGCCATTAAGACAAAACTCATTAGCTTCTTGGGCTCTAGAGAACATTGTGCAGCCCTTGGCAAATCCAGTGGTACACAGTTTGCCAACAAATCCGCAACTACTCAACACTGAAGCAACAAATGAACCTAAATAAAAGCACCTGTACTGGTCGAGAAAGCTGTTAGCCATGGCATTTCTTAGTATGAATACAGATTTTCATTGTATTGTCTTGTTATATCTAGCAATAATGCAAATATTGTGATTTTTTTTATCAGCAAAAGTCCCACAATAATATCATGGACCATCACAATATATCAAAATACAGGTCTCTTTGCTTAAATTTACTGTTATGGTGCAGGAATAGGAGGGAACTACATAGACCATGATCATTTTCAGTGCAGACTACATGAAGAAAAACTGTTATTAAGGACTTCTAACCAAATTCTTGTTAAAAGGAAAAGAAAGAACAAGAAATTGCAATAAATATCGTACAGTGAGATGCATATTGTCAAAATACCATGCCGAGATATTTGGATAACAGTTTGGATAGGACTGTATTTACATAAGACCTTTATATTAGAACTGTTTGACTGGTGAGATGCCCTTGGAGATGGCACTTGACCCTGTAACATTAGGGGCTCTTGTACTGCAGCAGAGCAGAATTACACTTAGCTATGAATATGTTTAGCCTGCAGAGGAGAGAGGTCGCAGAGTCATCTTAACCCTGGGTAAATGCGAATTACAGTGCTAAATGCCAAATGAGCCATGAGCACAGACTGCTGCGACCATTATTAACACAAGTTTAAGTAATCTGCATTGAAAGTCCACTTAAAAGGGTATAAATTGGCCGGCTGTTTAACACTGTCAGCCAAGTTGTGATTTGAGATAAGCAGTGCACAAAGGCACAGGGCCAGAGTCATGAAACAAGACTCCATATGAAACACATCCAAAAGACAAGAGCCAATGTTCACAGCACAGATAACATCAACAATAATTTACTTTAATAACTATCATTTACAAGACTTTACTTCACTGATAGAACATTATTTTTTTAAATGCCTTTTTGATTTAAGATTGTGCGTTATAAAAATTTCTTCAAATTGAATTCTTTTTATTACTGGGTTTCAGATGACATTGCATATTCTATAAGACAATAATATTTAATACAGATGGGGCAGCTAAAATTAATATTGTAATATTGTTGCAGATTTTTGGTGTAACACAATGAGTTCTTGGGTCTAGTTAATTACAGAAATGGATATTGAATGGCAAAGTACAATGTAATTAATTCATAAAAATTTTTCTCTTGCCCCCCATCTGGCAGTATGACATCTGAAAACCACCAAACATTTGGGTCACTAAAATGTAGCCAGTTCAAGGGCATGAACAGTCTACAGTGCTACCACAGTTCTAACAGATAATAGCTGTCTCTATCAGTCAATATGAGGTATGTAAATTAACTAAGTGCCTGTGGACTGTAGACTCCTCAGGCAAACCTGTGGGGGGTTGTGTCACGTTCAGTTTATCCACACATGTGACCCAGTGCGGCTGACATTATCCATAAAGATGTGGCATTTTCAAACTATAAATGAATGTCATTCTTGTTACAGAAATGTCAGTGGTGGTCATTGTTACAGAGGTTCACATTCTCCACTGGGAGGACCTACCCCCACTTATATTTATAACTAAATATCATTAAGAACAGACACCAAAGCTACATCTCTATTATTTATTGAACAGTTACTATTGTTTGTTGCTACTATGCACAGATGATGGTAGTATCTGTTAGCATACATTATATACAGTAAATACAGTAACATTATTTGCGACTTTTTTTATTTTTTTTTTTCAAATAACGCAAAAGCCCTTTATATGTTATATTTCTTTGAAGACATGGCCAATGTGGAATCAGCTCTTCAAATGTGAAAACAATAAAATACACAATTGACTAAACAATAAAGATATTATAAATCACATATTACTTTTGTTTTACACTTATGTTACATGTGTTATTTACTGTCTTATACCATATTTATATATATCTATATGCTACATGCCATTCCTCTGCCATGCACAGTGTTACCTGGGCACTGCCAGCCACTGAGACTCTGGCAACCTCCAGAGTTTCCACATTACAAAGGAATTTGTGGATTCCACATACAAAGAACAGATCCTCTGTGTAATGTTTATAGTATATTAAGTCTCTGAAAAGTTTACTGAGCTTTCAGTGTCAGTCACTTTCACTATACATAAAATGATTATTCTGTCTGCCTCTGGCTTAATTATAATGCCAGTTATTTGCCAGGATAACGCCCAACTGTGTCTAAACAAACGTGGCTGCTAAATGGTAAGCAACTGGCAGTGGTTCAATAAAATTATTTAAGATACAGACTGTTGGTGTTATGTTAATGAATGCATTGTACCTTGGCACTGGAATCCTTGTTTTCCAAATCCCCTGTAAAAAAAAGAGAAAAGTATGTGTTTATTATAAATTGGTAATAGGGTATTCATATTTCAGAAAGTTAGAACTGTGCATTGACGTACATGCCATGAAAATGTTAGCAATGATTTCCAAATGAGAAGCAATAGAGGAGCAAATTATTCAACTTGTAATCAAGAAAAACAGTAAAAGTGAAAGATAAACAACATCCCTGTCTCAAGCTTTAAAGAACAAGCAAAACTATGCAAAGTTCACTTCTCGCACAAGAAGGCCTATAAACTGGGTGGCGCATTCTGAGATTCTTAACATCTTTTTTTAATGGAAAACTGCAATTAAAGTAAATAAGGTAAGGCCTAGTTACTCTGAAAAAAATATGGATTTTATTTTATGCACATCACAGTGAAGGTAAAAGAATGGTAATAAGGCTTAGCCTCTTGGGACAGATTAATGTTCAACAGTTATACAGCATTCTATTCATTCTATGTACCATGGTATTCTCTAGTCTCTTTGCTTACACTTATTTCTTTCATTGCTCCCCTGTTAACAACAACAAAGTAACTCCTCCCATCTACTAGTAGTTGTCGACTGCAGAAAGCCTCTCATATGCTAAACTCGTGCAAAAGCACCGATTTTTACCACTGAAAACTTCTATATCCCTACGAAATAAGAGACTCTGCTCTAATGTTTCACAAGACACACAGAATACGGGTTAGGTACAACCCTTTTAATGAGAAAGTTGCAGCCGAAGTTGCGTTACATCATCGCAGCGCACTCCGTGGAGCACTCCAACTTATCCAACAAGCAACAGGCACAGACGGGGGTGGTATACTGCATTAATGCTTACCATATGAAGTCGGTGCAGTGGCTGCAGAAAGTCGGCTGCTTGAAGAACCGCGCTATAAATTTGTGATCTTTTACCACATGGACGTTCTTTTGCCTTAGAGCACCTTTGCGAGCAAATCTGTTGGCCACGTCTGAGGTGGACGGGTCGTTGGAACTCACGTCAGTCATGTCTCCAGTTGGAGCAGATGAGCACCGAGGATGTGCGCCTGTTTACTGGGGTTCAGTCCGCTTCTGTGATCTGCAGCTGTTGGTGCGGAGGCAGCGGCGAGTTGACTACAGTCACTGTCCCTGTGACTGAGGGCTTTCCCTGGCTCTCGACTGGCGCGGACTGGGCTGCTCCACTGACAGCGCTCCACAGTGTCACAAACACACACTGATCCAATACCACTTCCGCTTCAAGTCTCAAAGTAAACCTGCGACTTCTCCATAGACTTCTATCTCAGCGCGGTAAGAGCGCATCGTTCATCGTTAAAGCTGCAAATGTTGCCACTGTCCCATTGCCCCAGTGTCCCTTATGCAAGGACCGACAAAGGACAGTTATCTTGTCCTGCTGTTATGTTTGTGAATTATATGGATCAATGATTCTGTTGGTTTTATTGTAAAAATACTTTTCCGGTTGTGCGGTGTGAATCCTTGTGTAACTTGCCTTTACTGAGGCGCTTCCTTTCAGTGACTGGGGCTGATGTCACGCAACAGGAGGCTGGGTGGAGGCAGCGGCTGGGGTCCGGTCCCATGGCAGGATCCAGGACTGAGGCGCCCCTAAGTGGAGAAATAATGGACTGCACATCATCATCTATGTGGTCAACATTTTTCGGCAAACCTAAGGACAGCTAAATCAAAGCTAATATTAGCAAAAGCTAATATTCAATAAGGACGAATTCAGGACTTGGGCCTAAATACCCCTGCCCCCTATATAGCAATGGTATATTCAATTGATCAGTCTAATGCAGAGTACAAATACAGCTATAAATTGGTAGTTCATACAGAAAAGCGCCAAATACTGCAGATGTTTTAGTTACAAGATGTGAATGAATGTCTCAGTGAATATTAATCCTGAATAATACTGAATCACTGATCTATCTGATAAAGTGACTCACAGTGAAGCAGAGCCAGAGCCCAGAGTAAATGTTCTTCACTATCAATTCACTTTCTACCACTGCTGTTTGTAGGGTGAAGTTAGGTACCTTTACTGATTCAGCAATATGAGCCATATAAGTTTTGAACTCCTTGCTCTTTAACTATTCATTATGTTAAAGAGCAAGGAGCTCTTTAACATAACTGCAATCAAATGTTTTTTGTTTGTTTGTTTGTTTGTTTGTTTGTTTGTTTGTTTTTACAAAAAAAAAAAACATTTGATAGGTGTGTGGTGATTATTGTGGGAGGAGCCAAGCTTCACATTCAAATAGCAGAGCAGAAGTGCATTGACATATGCAGTCTAACTTGACAACTATAAGGTTCATAACTAAATAGAAAATGAATTTACAGCTACATAAATTATATGCAATACATGTAATTCAGTCTGTCTAGCTAACCTATAGTTATTAAAAACATGTTGATGGAGGCTCAGTTTACCTTAAAGTTTCAGGAAAATTGTGCCATGTCTGTCAAGTAAAATGAGCCACTATCATGTATGAGTTTTCACATATATTTTAATAGTTCTAATGCTTAAATAGAGATCATTGTGTTTGTAAATGAAAATGCTGCAATACTTGATAGCTGGAGTGCAGCACAATGAGTCATATAGAGCTGTTTTGACATCATATCTTTGAGATGATACTTGGTTCATAACTAGTGTGGCCATTATCACGTTCATCACGATCATCACTATTTAAAACAGCCCTCCACACAGTTAGAGCAGAATTTTCAGTAAAAAAAAAAAAAAAAATGCACTGACCTGCACAACTCCTGCTGCAAGTCCCAGGGTGAATGGGCCTTAAGCAGGTCTCTGAACTGTGTTCCAGAGTCTCAAGGCTTTACACATCCTAAAACTGAAGCACTGGAGCTCTGAGTTTGGTCAGTGCAGGGTGGAGAACAGAGCACCAGAAGAGGCAGAGCAGAGGCATCAAGGACAGCTCTGTGTTTTACATGTTTGTTAAAGAGAAGCTGAGGAGTGACTCATTCTACCTGAGCATGTGGCTCATTTTACCTGAACACAGCTCTTCTCCAGTAGTACATTTGCCAGCAGAGGTTTTAAATGCTCTTGGAGAAAAATAATAGCATTTTATTTCTTTAATTTTATCCCCAAATACAAGTAATACTCCTTAGTACCTAATAACACAATTCATTACATTACATAAAAGTATATTTGTCCCACACAATCTACCAAAAAGTGTCCACTTTACCTGACTTCACCATACACCTATGGATTAAAAAATATATATATAATATGTTTGTGTTCAATATCCAAACAAAGAGCATACTACAGTTTTTAAAAATCAATTAACAGTTTATTTCAAGCATGATTGTGACTGTCCCTTTACAGTTATCAGCCTATTGATCCAAGTGAGCAAATAAGCAGAAATGAAGACCTTTGAGCTAAGCAAATATGTACATTTGATTGGCTCACACTTTTCTGGGTCTGATTTAAACTTCCAACCTCAGTGCACATCGCGGTGGTTAAATTTTGAAGATGATGTCTCCCATCTGGTCTCTTTTGATCCTTTGTCAATTTCTACTTTATACAACTGTGTCATCCAAAAAAGGTAAGCTTAAAAACAAATGCAGTATTATTAGATACAATTACAAGTCTGTTCCTAATTTTTGCTCATGAAATGTGTTTTTTGCTTTTTTGCATTCTGTTAGTATGCGGTCGCCCTCTTTTAACCGATGGCATTGATGAGACTGCCCTAAAGCGGGTGTATGAAGTGGGTGAAGAGGTGACGCTCTCATGTGAACAGGGATACCTCCCATCAACCCCCAGTCCACAGAGAATCACCTGCACCGGCACTGGGGAGTGGACACCCTCGAACCTGGCCTGTTCTCGTGCGTTTAGACTCAACAAAAAGCTTTAACTTTGGTTTTCCATTATTTTAAAAGTATTATTATAACAACTGTGGCACATTGGATATTTACCTCATAAGTTAGGAAATTTACTTTTTCTTTCTTTTACAGCTAAAATGTGCCCAATCCCGAAACCTTTGCAACCTTTGGCAATGGGCCGGACTGAAGCCCCTTTCAAGAGCATTCTCAACTTCACCTGTGACGATGGGTAAATTATACTGAAAATTTTGACATACAAACCAATTCATGTTGGTTCAATTCAAAACTAATTTACTCTGTTACTATAACAGGTATGTTATGATGGGATTCAATAGTAGCAGTTGTTTGCATGACGGTACTTGGAGCAACCCCCCACCAATGTGCAAAGGTAACCACAGAGTTATTGATTAGATCTTTATTTAAAGATACATTGAGTAAATTTTCTGGTGGAGGGTCAGTCAAATGCTTGTCTCCATGGAGATGTCATTGCTTTGTCTGAAATGTTTCACAATATGGCATTAAACCTTTCAATCAGAATGGAGACCAACCCAGACAAAATTACAGATCAGATCTGTGGAAAGCCAGCTCCACTCACAGTCTGAATGCTTGTTTTTTTAGGTATCTCTGAGCTACAAAACCACCAGTAATTGAATAAATGTAAGCTATAGCTGTTTAATGTCATACTGTGGAACATTTCAGGCAGAGCAATGACATATTCATAGAAACAAGCAACGTGACATACCCCCCAACCAAAACACCTAACCCTGGTTTTAGTGGCATCTTTTATCTTCTATTCCAGCTGTTAGTTGCCCATTGCCAAGGCCACCTGCAGAGGGCAGAATTGTGCATGACAAGAAGCCATTTACTGGTACTAATACAATATACGGTCAAGGTTGGACATATGAGTGTAACCCACCTAAAGCACCAAGTTATGAGAGAGGGTCTTGTAAGGCAGACGGAACAGTTCCAGAGCCACCTACTTGTCGAGGTACATCATCAGTTAATTTTCTATTTATTTGTCTGAAATGAAATAAACAACAAATTTTTCTTAGAGGTGAGCTGCCCTGTTCCTGATGGTATCCCAAATGGGATTATCACTTTTGCTGTTATGAAGCAGCATCGCTACAAGGAAACCATTAGATATGCCTGTAATGATCATTACCTTATGGAGGGTGACCCTGAAATACACTGCACAAATACTGGGAACTGGTCTACAAAGCCAATCTGCAAAGGTACATTTCACAACATTACAAAAAATATTCACTGCTTTAAACATTTTTAATTCTGACATACTGTATATCTATTATTTTCCACCAAGCACCCTGTCAAGTTGGCATCAAGAGAGGCCGTATCTTCTACAATGCAAAAAAGATGTGGATTGAAGATTTTAAACCAAATAGAGTCCTTCATAAAGAAGTGGTTGTGTTTTACTGTAAAAACAAGGCAGAAAAGTGTGGCTATCCAGTAGCTAGTGTCTGCAATGACGGAGTCCTCCCTCTCCCAGAATGCTTTGAGGGTAAGCATCCGTACAATTAAAATATGGCATGATATGTTGTAAATTAATACTGTATTTTGATATCTGTGTATTTTCATCTTCAGAACCAGGTAAAATTGAGTACAACATCAGGGCTAAAACTCTTCCTTCGGAAATCAGAACATGTGCAACGTCTCCTCCGGCTACAAGCACAACAAGACCTGCATAACAAGAAGAAATAGAGATTGGATTTACAATATATCTCATGATCGATTAATATAAGATAATTAATGAGTTACTAAAATAAAATTCCTTAATCTTTTGAAGTTTGTGTGTCACCAGAATGTTTATTTGGTTGAACAGTCAGACCCACTGGCCCACAGGTTGTCTGGTGTGATTCCAGCTCCCGCAGATGAATGCTGTCACTGTTTCCTTGGGCAAGACACTTAATCCACCTTGCCCCAAGTGTCTGTGTACATTGTTGTATGATTGTGTGTGTGAATGGGTGAGTGGTTCCTTGATGTAAGCACTTGAAGTGCCTTAAAGGTAGAAAAGCACTATATAAATATGTGACCATTTATCTTGTTTGTGCAAAGTTACTTGAAGTTGCTTCAAAATAATTTCAAACAGAGATTATGCCACCACAAAGTAGTGGTCCAAAATATTTGTATAAAAAGGTATTTGGGGAAAACTACTACTTACTGTAAGTAAAAAGAGTAATCATAAACTGTCTGGACATAACTGATTTATAATAAATTAAATAATGCAAAAATCTGGTATTTTTTATAAACCTCAAAATGTGAAAAAAAAAAAAAAGTGTCTGAATGACCTATGCAAAAAACACAAATGGTTGAATATTTTGATATTGTTAATTTATAACTTTTGTCACTATAACTCACCATATTTACACATGTAGGAATACTGTTTAATGTAAAAGATGCATTTACTAGGTTAACATTTTGAAAATGAAATACTTCTCTGAGTATTTTCATGTCCGGATGTAACTCTGTTGAAACATTGCAGTACTGGGGCAAAGTCCTTCGAATGTAACTTTATAATTCCCCAAACTTACCGGAAACAAAACAGAGAAGACACAGAAACAGGAATTACCAATAGATTTTGTTTTCTGTTTGCTCAAATGAGGAACTAGTCAGAAGTTAAAGAAAGTTGAAATCCTCAAACAACTTACAATGAAGTGTACTTTTTTGCTACAGCTGTGTTCATTTTTGTTTTGGACCAATATCGCAAGAGCAGAAGACAATGGTATGTTTTCATATATGTAACATTTTAGACTTTTTAAAAACTTTTTTTTAGCATATCAGTTGTTATTCCTGTCTATTTAATGTTAATTGTGTGATGTTTGTTGAAGTTTGCTCCAGACCTGAACTTGGGGACAATATGCAGTCGGAGGGGTTACAGCTGTTCTTCAGTCCTGGAGCGGAGGTGGTGCTTTCCTGTAAACCAGGATACACACCCTTGTTCGGACCTCGCACCATCGTCTGCAAAAGCACTGGAACATGGACAGTAACTAAACTTAGATGCAAACGTGAGTCATACATTTACTCAAATAAATTGAGTTCAAGTTGATGCCTATGGCTAGTTTAGGTAGAGTGTACACTATGTTGTTTGTTTCTTAATTGTGACAATATCTCCTTCTGTACAGCCAAGTTATGCCCACCCCCTGATCCTCCAATGAATGGACAAATGTATTATAATAGTACATTTTACCTGAGCACCGTCAACTATGCTTGTGATGATGGGTAAAAGCTTTATTACTGACATTTCATAGTTAAATACATTTACAAAATCTATATAATTTATTACATCATGAACAAATGCATCAATTAGTATTATTTTATATCACTGTTTTGATTTTGTTATTTAAAAAATGAAATGTTTCTATCATCTCTCAAAGGTACATCTTGATAGGTGCCAGCAGTGCTTTATGCGATAGTAATGGGAACTGGAGTGCAACAGAACCACGATGCAAACGTATGTCACTATGCTAAAATCAATATCAATTCAAGTTTCTGCAGAGCTTCAAGTTACATGTGTATTTTCTTTAGCGATTTCCTGTGGTCCTGCTCCAATTCCAGAGTTTGGCATGATCATTTATGATAGGATTATCAGAGATAATAAAAACATCAATTATGGTACCAGTGGAACCTACAGGTGCCTACCTCCACTTGCACTAATTGGTGAAAGGAGAGCAGAATGCACTGCCAGTGGCCAATGGACCGAGACACCCCAATGTCGAGGTATGAACAAGGGATAATAAAGGTGGAATTCAATAAACTAACCTTCTCTTTCTAGAGGTGAGCTGCCCTCCACCAGAGAACATTGAGCATGGCTACATGTCAGTCATCCCAAATAAAGAATATGCCTACACCGACACTGTCAAATATGGATGTAAAGGTGACTATGTACTACACGGGCCGCTACAGATTGTATGTGAGAAGACAGGGGAATGGTCTGAAAAACCATCATGCAAAGGTAAGAAACTTTATACCACTTATACCTGAAGCATATAACTTATTTAAAAACACTGTAAAAGGTTTTGCATTATAAATACAATACAATTTGTGACATACAGCCCCGTGCAGTGTTGGTATTAAGAGGGGAAGAATCATGTACAAAGGGAACAAACAATGGATTGAAGATTTCAAACCTAACCAGATTTTACATGGAGAAAGTGTTTCTGTTTACTGCATGGATGAAGGCCGGAATTGTGGATATGCAATTCCAAGTCAATGTTCTGATGGAAACCTTCAAATTCCTGAATGCTTTGAGGGTAATGCAAACTCATTTAAACTTTGATATGTGAATTTTTGGTGTTTCAAGTTTGATGTTTTGAAATGTGTCTTTTTCCCCAGAGCCCAGTGCAACGCTGTATGCACTAAAATCAGGATCACTTCCATCAGAAATTCAACAATGTTAAAAATAATGTTAGAGAGCAGGAAAAATCTGCTGTTTTTGTTGACTCTTGTCCATTCCAGAAAAAAGTATGCTTAATGATTAATTTCTTAGGATTGCATATTGTCTTTTCTCTTTCTGTCTTTTACAGTTTATTGCAAAATGTACATAATTAAATGGACATGCACATGCTGTATACTTTAGACATTCATTAAATGCTTGAATCATTGGGGGAAGAAATACTCATTTTGTTACTTAACTAAAAGTACAGATACCAAAGGGAAAAAAGAAAAATTCAAGTAAAAGTAAAAGTATCACATGAAAAAAATGTACTTATTTACTTATTAAATACCTGTTTAAAAATGCACTTAACGAGTAAAAAGTAAAAGTATTTCAAACAGATTTCGAGACCTAATAAAGCTTCAGCAATTTTGATAAAAATTGTGCTGAATTTTGTTCAACAGAAACAACTGAATCAATAGTTTTTTTCTATCAGTTTTCGTTAGTATATTTTAGTATGCTCCAACTATAAAACCCTAATCTCTCAGCCTTTTCAGCAGAACTCAAGCTAATAATAATAATAATAATAATAATAATAATAATAATAATAATAATAATAATAATAATCACCTTTTACTTTTGACCCTATTCAAAAATGTAGTGGAGTAGAAAGTACAGATAAGTTCTCTCAAAAGCAGAGAAGTAAAAGTAAAATGTTTCCACTTTAAAATCTACATATACCTTTTTTTTTTTTTTTTTTTTTTTTTTTTTACTAAAGTACAGCACTTTACTATTTTGACTTTGTTTCGTTCCACCACTGGTTTTAATACCATTTTAAAGTATACACCATAGACAAGGAACACAATCTAGTCAACTATGAGGCAATTAATAGCCTTTTATACTAGTGTTCTACAATATCTAGAAGAGATGGCAACTAGTTTTGTTTAAAGAATGACGGGGAAAGTGCAAATAAATACCCGTAAAGCGTTTTGGTGGGAGACCAGCGTGGATCAATAACCGAGGAGACACGCCGGCAGATGACGCTGTTGTTCCGTTTAATTTCATAACTAATGTGGCTATAGGGTCACTTCTCGCGAGACTTAATGGGCTTATTTCTCTTCGCTCCAGCATGGCTGCGCTGTTTGAAGGATACACGTTGTGCGGGCTTGTGCCAGCTCAAAATCTCACATCTTCAGGTGTACATGGCATCAAATCAGAGAGGGACGATGACCATGTATTAGTTACGGACTCAACCAGATCAGTCACTCTGTATAAGGTAAATTAACCACTTTGTAAACCCATGTGGTTAACTGCTCCGATGCTACGTGGGGTTAGCATTCCCAGTCTCTTTTTGATGGACGCAACCACAGAAAGCATTGTTTTCAGATTGTGTTAGCTACTATTGTATGTATATTGTTAGTGTGTGATGTTTAAGAGTGATTCCTTGGTTTATTTGGCCACATGGACGCTGATAACGCCCCTGGTGTTGGCCACGTATTGCGTTGCTTCTCACGCGTAAATGTATCTGCTCGTGTTTTTGCGTTTTCAGGTTTCAGACCAGAAGCCCCTGTGCAGCTGGACGGTAAAACAGGGAGGAAGTTTGACCTGTCCAGTAGTTTACAACTCCAATACAAAAGAATATGTCGCAGTTTCAGACAACAAGGTAACAGGACATAAACACGCACACCGCGCACAAAACGTGTCCCATTGCATTTGTGCAGTTTCCGTAAAATTATTTGTCATACCAATGCTAAAATGTTTATGGATGAAGTTAACATGTTTTAAAATTTTGCAGGTCATTCGAATTTGGAAAGAGGACGACATAACTTTAGATAAGGTGTTTAAAGCAACTGTGAGTATTTGTCAATTGTCATTTTAATTGTAGATCAAACATTATGTGCATTTTGTGTAACTGACTTGAGTTGGATTTCTTTCTCTGCAGCTGTCTTCAGATGTGTGGCAGGTCCACAGTACACATGGAGCAGAACCTGTGGTCTTGTTTCAAAGAGGAGCTATAAGACTCCTGGATTCCATATTGGCTGCACCACAACAAATTGTGGAGGATGTTTTGGCTCAAGACGAAGACCTCAGGTAAATGCAATTGGTTTAGACAAGATAGTTCAGGCACTCCAGAAAAGTGAAAGTCGCACAAGGAAATATAGTTAAAAGGTCTTTATTTAAATGGCCAAAGCCAACATGTTTTATTGACTATGACCAGTCTTCATCAGGGCTTGGTTACATATCAGAGTTACATTAAGTCAGTAAGATTTGTTTTTTGCTTTACAAGTATGGTCCAAGGTTCCCTCTCCTTACAGCTGCTGTGTGCTGTTAAAGGACTGAAAAACTTTGGAAAATAAACTATTGCTCTCCACTGTGACAGGACACTAAATTGCTGTTCACAATCTAAAAGTAATATACAACAAATATGATGCAACACTGTTAAATGTTAAAATAATAACTCTATTAATTTTATGGGGCAATTTATTGATGTATTCTTTTTTCCCAAGGTGGAGCACTCACTTGGTTGCAGATTTGCAGCATTGTGTCATTTTCACAACAGAGCAGGTAACTGATCTTATTGTGAGTTTTTGTTATGTGTTTTTTTTTTTTTTTTTCATTGCACAAATGTCATCTTTTGCCTTTTTAAAATTGGTTTTATTAACAGAAGGGTGACCACTTCCTGTACCTGCAGCAGTTGAACCCAAATAGTCTTCAGAAATACTGTCTTGAAAGAGAGGAGCCTGGTCTCTGTCCTCTGAGCTTCTCTGTTGCCCTCAGAGATAAGCATATCTGCTTGCTTTACCTGTGTAAGATGGCATTCTTTTGTGGTTAAGTGTTAAGGCAGCTAGAGTTGCAAGAACAAACTTCTTATGACCTCTGACATTTCATATAGAGAATATCAACAGTACAATGGCAGCACTGTTGTATCAAAATTACCATTAATGTGTCTTGTCTTTTAATCTTAATTTCACAAAAGAAATTTACAATTGTCCATGCCCACTTTGAAATTAATTAATCCAATCACAACACAGAGCTGTCTGAAGTTGTTGAGCTCATGTGTTAAGAACAAGCTTTATTCTTGCACCTGATTAAGTATGAATGAGCCTTAAGTCTATAATCTATTTTTACTTGACTATAACGCTTCCCTAATTGTACCGCATTATTGTTAGATCCCAATGGTCGTGTGTATCAGAGTATTATACCTTTACGAGGTATTGGTGATGATGGCTCTCAGACCCTTACTCTGCCCCGGAGTCTGCTCCTGAGCCTCTCTGTAGGGGAGGGCCTTCTAGAGGCTGCATCTGCCCTGATACTGGATGAAGCACATGTAGCTGTTGTAGGTGCACCACACCCCTCTGCTGGAGCTGGCAAAGGTGAGGTTAACTTATTAAATTGTTTTTATAGAAATGTAATTGAAAGTTTTATTATGATTCTGCAGATTTTCTCTGCATCTGGAATATACATTTTCAGACCCTTCAGGCTGGGAAAGAGATGGCTGGTAAAATCTATGGTCAGGTAAGATATTGCATTATAACACAATGAGTCCAAGGTTCCCTCTCCTCTCGGCTGCCAGTGCTGACTGAGGACTGTATAACTTTGGTAGAGCATCTCTACTGCTCTCCACTGTGAAAGGGCTGGCCGTCTCTGTTCACAACTTAACAGCAGTGTACATGTGCACATAATTTCAGTGTTTAAGAGGCTAATGGAATGTATCCTCTGCTTCAGCTTTGGAGATTCTCCAACAAGTTATTCATCCCTCATGGGAAATCCCTCTCGGTAATCCGTTATGAGTGCTCCAAGTCTTGTCTGGCCGCTGCTGTGGGAAAAATGAGGCAGGCGAGGATTGAAGGTGAGCAGGAACTGCCTTGGTCTATATCCATATCTTTCAGTTGTTTTCAGTTATTTGTTATACCCACTTTGTTTCACAGAATGCAAAGGCCTTTCTTCCGTGCCTTCATGGAGTAATATATTGCATGGGGAGAAGGTGCAACCATCCAGAACAGCAGATGGCAGAAAAGCGGTACTCTCATTAATTTTTGCATGTTGACCTAATGAAGCTGATAAAAATGTGCCAAGCTGCCCTGTTTATGTTGAATATCAGCCTTAAAGTTGCATCCAAGGTTCCCTCTCCTCTGAGCTGTCGAGTGCTTTTAGAGGAATGAAAAACCATTGGGAGAATATCTACTGCTCTCCACTGTGATAGGGTGTTGTGCCTTTACACAACTTATCTGCAGTGCACATTTTTTATTATGTGTAATAATCCACATAAGGTCTCATTATACAATACTTACAATGTTAACATTTATTTCCAGAGAACAAGTCGAAGAATCCAATCACTGCCTTCTCTGTCAATAGAACAGATGATGGAACTAATTAAGGTTTGTTTGTACTTGTATGTCTATGTCTTCTCTTATGAGTTCATACGTGACACATTTTGCATTTTCAGACTGAGCCTGTGAAAAAAGTGCAGCAGGAAGTGGACGCTTTTATTTCTAACACCCCTGACCTTCAGCTTGTTGTGGGACAGCTTGCTTCTGCTCTTGTGTCCAGGAGCCTGTCTGACTTAACATTCTACACTGGAGGCCTCCTATCACAACTTGTCCAGTCACGGACACTCTGCCATAGGTCAGTAGGTGATACTTTGAGTAAATCTTTTTTTTTTTTAATCGTCTATACAAACCAATGAAATTGTTTGTCATAGCATTTGCCCGGAACTTCTCCTTCTGGCTTTGGAGAAAAAAGACTACTTTCTGTGTCAGCTCTGCTTGCAATTCTTTCCCGATATCCCTGAAGCAATTACCTGTGCTTGTCTAAAGGCCTTTATCAGGTAAATGGTCATTCCATGTGTTTTTATGCTTATTAAAGTATTACATATAATGATAGTTTTTCCTTTTTTTTTTTTTTTTGCAGTATAACAGACAGCGATGCAGAGATGGTGAATCTGGATCCTGCTGGTGTCTCGTTCATGGATATGTTGATCACCAAAGACAGTACACAGGTTGGCTCGCAAAATGGTTCGAGCTATACCTCTGTAAAGAATGATCGCTTAGAAATTATGGACAGAGATGCTGCAGTCCCAAAGGTGAACATGCAAATTCCACTTGAAGAACCATGTCCAGTTAGCTTAAATAAGGCTGTCCTATTGTATCCTTTTTGTTTTTTATCAACTAAATTCAAAACAATATGCCATGTTTTGTTTTTTAATTTTATTTTGCTTAAGTAAAACTGCACAGAAATGAAATCTTGCAGGCGCCATACAGTGAAAATTACCTCCTTCCACACCTCAAAGACCTTTCTTCCCAGCATGCTCTTGTGAGTAATTTGGCAATATGCTCTCTACCAATATGCTTCAGCTGTTTTATTACTGATTTATTTGTTTGTCTGATTATCCAGGTCTTTCTCCAATATCTCCAATTTCTTTACTTGAAGTATTCCCAGGATGCATTTCCACAGAGAAAAGAATTGAGATCACCCACACTGAATCAGGTTTGTCTAGGATATGACAGTAGGACTAAATGAACTAGTACTTTTTTCATATTTTAAGAATCAGGCCATGTTTAATGAATTTAAAATGGTGCTGTACTTAAGTGTCCCAAGATACAAGCTAGTTGGATTAAGCCTAAAAGGACTCTGATTCATGATCTGATTCAGATCTGTGCTATGGCAGCCTCTGCCACTCAGGCCTGTCCAGATACTAAGAATGAGTTCCTTAATAGTCTCTGCCCTGCAAATCAATGTAAACATTAAAGTTAAATATTAGATTCTCAAATTATGTTCAAGATTATATCTACTCCAAGGTTCCCTCTCCTCTGAGCTGCTGAGTGCTTATAGAGGAATGAAAAACCATTGGGAGAATATCTGCTGCTCTCCACTGTGATAGGGCGTTATCCCTTTTCACAACTTAACTGCAGTGTACACATTTATCACTCAATTACTCTTGACAGACAAGTCAGCAAAAGCTTTAATTGTGATGGTCAATTGTTTCCCATTTGGATGCAGGTAATGGATTGGGTATGCATGGTATTGGATGCCCATTTTACAGTTTTAGTGATGACTCCAGAAGCAAAGGGGTTACTTTTTAAACTGCACACCTTTGTCAAGTCTCAGGTAGATGTCTAAAATGCATCCATATAACTGCAAAAGTGAAGTGCATCATCAACTTTTTTCTCTTCTCAGGTGAAACTGTTTTCAGAGCTCGGAAAGATTGGAAGTAGCCTCCAGGAGATCAAAACAATGAAAGCAAAAAAGGACATTGGACAATATTCAATTGAAGTTCTCGAACTGTATTAACAAGGACACTTACACTATTTTAAATAAATTTTCTTTTTATAATCTTTTGAATGCATTTGATTTTATTATGACAAATTACACAAATGTGTCTCACAGCTTTTGTCTTTCAACTGTTGAACTACATTTCAACATTATAAGAAGCTTTTGGTTTTGAATACAAATTTTCCAATAAGCTGTGCTCATTTACCTTTCGCCAGTGTCTGGAGGTACCGTAGGCGCAGACAACGCCACTCATCAGCCTGCCCCCCACGGCACTTGTTTCAACAGTAGTAGTGGCTTATACCAATATATGACGTGAATTCTATAACAAAAAACGTAATGCAAATATAGGTGCTAGATTTGACAAACGTAGCCTATATTTTTCCCCGTACATGGTATAGATTAAAAACACTTGGGAATGCCACGGACTTTGTAACCCTAATACAGGTTGTAGCGCTAGTTATTTTTTATTTATTTATTTGACTGAAGGCAATTATCTCGGACACTTTTCTTAAACCATTTTATTAATAATGCGCTATAATTTATTTTTGGATGCTAATACTATTGGGTCTAAAACATTGCTTATTACTTTCTGGTATAAGCCCAAACACTTATGACGATGATGACACTGGCGATGTTTGCAGTCGCTGGCTTCAAACAACCGATCTGGTCCAAATGTACACAAAGCGAAACCGCATGAGCACCACTAATAGGAGAGTTTGCAAAAGCGTGCAACAAAATTTATGAACTAAAAGCACACAGTATTTGTAGCTTTTGTGGAAACATGTCACGTGATCACGCTGTGCGCGAGTTACCGTCAAGTAACAAACATGAGGACCACTTCCGCCCTAATCCGTCCATAGCATATTATCATCATGATTATCATCATGATTATCATGATTATCATATATATATATATATATATATATATATATATATATATATATATATATATATATATATATATATATATATATATATATATATATATATATATATAAATAATGTGCAGTGAAGACTTTAGGGCCTAAGTTTCGCTGTCTCGACAATGTAAAATATTGACCATCCATCAGAGATTTTTACACAAAAATAATATGCTGTGATTCTGACGTATATGGGCCAAAGCTGCAGCAGACATCCTGGATAAAGGCATGTTCAGACAGGTCAGATATTTTATTGAAAAGCAAGCCTAATATATTCTGATAATATATGTTATGTCCTGCATTTATACATGGACATGGCAAATTTACCAAGTTAAAATAGCAAACAAATTTCGCCATGTGGTTGCTTTACTCTGGACGGTGCGTGTGGTATATCCGGTGAAGATAATCCTAACAAACGCTAACTTCACGCAGGTCTGGGGCCTGCTGTGTTTTCAACGGAGAGCCTTGGAGAAAAATGGCGTCTACTGGCGACCCAGAGCGGGACACCGGGCGTCCAGTGTAAGCTCTTCACCCGGAGACTGAGCCCAGGGTTTGGCGGGGGAAGGTCCCCTCTGCTGCCAGACCTCTCTCTTGTTTATTCCTCATTTTATTCTGGTGTGTGGCCCATAACAGCACCGAAATTGAGGCGGAACAGAGCAGGCTCTCTCCTGCAGTGAGGGAGCGAAGAGCTAGGCCGCCCAAACCTGAAGCCGAGATGCGGGAGGGTTCACCCGGGCCAGTCCGCGGCTCGAGGGGCAGCCGAACCAGAGGGATGAGAGGACGGGGGAGAGGCAGAGGACGGGGACGGGGGCGAGGGCGAGGAGCTGCAGGTGGAGGCTCGGCCGAGTTAGAGACAGACGTGTCTGGTCGAGACAACTTTAATTCGTCCCGCGGCCGCAGGAAAGTTGGAGCCCACAGCGCGGCATCGCGGAGCAGAGGCAGCAGAGGGAGAGCCAGAGGGTCGAGAGGCGGCCGCGGCAGCAGAGGAGGCGTGAGACGGCCTCAGACCAAGGTGGTCTACGACGATAACAGCGAGGATGAGGAGGATTATTTCAGCTACAGATCTGACGAAGACGAGCTCTTGAACGATAACCCGTCTTCTGATCTGGAGGAAGAAGAGGCCTTGGGAAACGACTCGGACTATCTGGAGGAGCTACCAGATGAGGATGATGCCAGCTACTGCACCGAGAGTAGTTTCAGGAGCCACAGCACACATGGAAGCACCCCGGGTAGGTTTGTTTAGCGATAAAGGCAGAGTAATTGTACGTGTGCATTTTATTTTCTGGCCTGAATTGAAAGCAAGCCGCATTGTTCAAAATGGAGCTTGCACTCAGAAATAGGCCTTTGTTTACTGTGTGCTCCCCGTGCTCGCTGGCAGCTCATCTGCTCCACGCTACAACCGGCTCTCGTGTTTTGACTTTTGCTAAATCAGCATGTCTATAGAAAACCCTATATATAATTATTTCATTATTTGCCCTTTTTGGTGCACGCACGTGTGAACTTTTGCTAAATAAGTGATTACGAGCATAAGAAAAAGCCACGGACCATGTTTGCTACTTTGCTGCACTTTCATTCATTCGTATTTTTGTTTTGGTTCTGAATATGCTGTTGCACTTGGCCGGCGATGGCTGAGTGAGCTGTCAATGGTTTCAATCACTAATTTAAATGCACATTTCATTACGTTACATCTTCAGATTTATAAATATTGTAATAGTATACACTACCAATGTTATGCACTAATTTTAGTCAGATTCATATTTGATCTTTAAAGAAAGTCACTATTAAATTTCCCATATTGCTTCAAATTGCATTGATAATTAATAGAAAAATATATTTTGTTAAATCATTTCATTCATTACATCATAATACAATACAGAAATATGTTTCGATATGCTTTTTTGAGTATGGCATACATCCAGTTGTATCTGTGTTTTCTGCTTGTGACTAACCAGTTATAACAAACCTATTAGGCTCATTGATTTTATCACAATCATCCTCACATAAATTTCTCTTAATGTTTACAGGCCGCAGAAGAAGCAGACCTGTGCGACCAAGATCTCCAATATTGGAAGCGAAGGATGTTCCTCCCTTGGGTCTTCCCAAGTCCTCTGAAGACCTCCTGGTCCCTTCGTCACACCTGCTCGATATCATTGGTGTTTATGAGGTTTTGCGTAACTTTGGCTCTGTGCTGCGTCTCTCTCCGTTCCGTTTGGAGGACTTCTGTGCAGCACTGGCCAGCCAGGAGCAGTGCACGCTACTTGCAGAGACCCACATCTCGCTGCTCAAAGCCATTCTCCGGGAGGAGGACACGTCCAACACCACTTTTGGTCCTGCTGACGTGAAGGACTCTGTCAACTCCACTTTGTATTTTGTGGATGGCATGACGTGGCCAGAGGTCGTGCGCTCTTACTGTGACAGTGACCCAGAGTACAGGCATGTTCTGCCTTTCCTAGACAATGAGGAATATCCATATGAGCCACTGGAATGTAAAATTAAAGTTCTCCAGTTTTTAGTGGACCAGTTTTTGGCAACCAACATTGCTCGTGAGGAGCTCATGTCTGAAGGCGTTGTGGCATATGATGACCATTGCAGAGTGTGCCATCGTCTGGGTGATCTGCTTTGCTGCGAGACTTGTTCGGCTGTGTACCACCTGGAGTGTGTGAAGCCTCCGTTGCAGGAGGTGCCGGAAGATGAGTGGCAGTGCGAGGTCTGTGTGGCCCATAAGGTGTCCGGTGTTGCAGACTGCATCCCAGAGGTGCAGAAGACCAAACCATTCATTCGACAACTGCCAATTGGTTTTGATCGGCATCACCGAAAATACTGGTTCTTGGATCGGCGAGTTGTAGTGTAAGTTCAGACATTTTAAATTTTTATTTTATTCATACTAAATGCATACCATGCAACCTTGAAAGACCTATGACTCTCTTGTAGTTCTCAAATATTGTTTTATAAATTTAAAGGAATTGCCCTGGAACATAAACTGTATCAGCAGTGTTACCATACAGGCATTACTTTAGTAATTATTCTACGGTTGAGCAACCAGTGTTATGTAATTTACATTATATTTTATTTCCAGAGAGGAGGACAGCGAGCAAGACAAAACAATCTGGTACTACAGCTCCAAGGTAAGAACAAGGCTCTTATGCATTTGTCCAGAAGACATTCTCCTCAATATAATTTTTAAATAATTATTTTTATGATTCAACTGTCCCAGGTCCAGCTGGCTGAACTCATTGACTGCTTAGATAAGGATTACTGGGAGGCAGACTTGTATGCTGCCATTGAGGAGATCCGAGATGAGGTTCATGCACACATGGACATCACAGAGGACTTGACCAACAAGGCCCGTGGTAGCAACAAGTGTTACCTCACTGCTGCTAACGGTAAGGGGAGCCTCGTCTGTTTGCATGTGTGTGGACTCAATCTACCTGTTACATGCTATGTGACTTTAGTACCTTAACCTATAAATTTTAGCATTTGAAGACTTGCTCCAGCAAAATCTGTCTAATCGAACGAAGCAATTCACAAGTACAACCAAACGCACTTTAACGAGGCTGTGTCCAGTTTTCTTTTTCATGTAATAAGGCAAATTTTGTCTGGTGCAGATATACTGTAAAAATATCTCTTAGGATAAAAATAAGTCTGCTGTACTGCAGATTGCATTTAATTTATAAACCATTCTTGTAGTCTTCACTCTGGCTTCTGAAAGCTAACCTCTGAAAGTTGTGACAAGCGCTTATAAACTTATTCCAACTCAATTGCTAGAAATACGTTGGAAAAGTAAGTAATCTATCTTGATTATTTAAAATGATCAAACTCAGTATTTTACATTTAAGAACAGAAGAAAAATCAGGTACAGCTCCTTTTTTAAGTAGTAGTGCAATATTTGATAATTGTCAGCTCATGTCCCAAACAATTAATTTCAACAGACTGCTCATAACCTATCCTATCCTACTGTCTCCATATTAGAGGAGATCCTGGAGAAGCTGCGGTTAAAGAAAGAGGAGGAGATGGAGGAGGTGAAGAGACGAGCAGCAGACGAGGCACTGAGAGTGCGGCTGGAGCAGGAGAAAAAGGACGTGAACATAGATCAGGATCACCCAGAGACTGAGGAGGGTCGACCGGAGAGGGATCTGAAGG